TACCCACTCACCTTTGTACCGATGCCTTTCACAAATGTTTTCAGGCTTATTGTGTATGTTTTCACTTTTAGATTGTAATACATCAGGAATCCCTTGCTTAACAAAATTGAGAGTCATCAGCAAAGAACTCGGCTCCAGTCCGTGGTATTCCGCGACGATGATCTCTACGCCTCTGCATCCAGGCGCGTTTCGTAGCCCGAGTTGATGGAACACAGATGATGGGTTTCCTTGTTATAGAGCCCTCTTTCATGTAGCCTCTCACTTATGATGTATCTGCATAGTCGAGTTCTTGTAGCCACAACGAAATCCCCTACAATCTGACGTGAATTGTCTATTTTTTTTAGGAATGATTGCTGAAGAACGGTCCTGAGAGTCTGTTGTGGCAAGTTTTCGACCTTGACCTATTTGTCTGCTTGCATCACTATTTTCTTAAACCGTTTCCATACTCTTGACACGACGCTTTTGTCAACTCTTAAGGGCCGTTCAGACTGGGATTTATCTGAGCTGACAGAGTCAGTTCGATGTGTCGACTAGTTACTCTGTGCATGCAGTTCAGATTTTTCTACTCTCTGCTCTGTGGGAAAAAACTGGTTTTGGAGATGAGTCGGCTCCGTCAGTTGTCTCCGTTAGCTCAGACAAACCCCAGTTAGAACGGCCCTTTATATCTAAACAGACCTGTGTCAGTATCTGCCTTGCTTCCGTTTTCTAAATCGCACGCACTTCCTCACATCCGTCAGATGCCATCTCAACGAGATTTTCAATCTTCTACATGCGAAAATGTTATCCAACTATTCGTACAATTATAATTTAAAACACCGCCTTGCACTCCTTTCCACACATGCCAAAAGAAGGAGATAAATATTTTTTATATTTACGTAGCGAAGGCGAAATCCTTTGGACTATGTGGATAACTCTAAAGGGCCGTTCCCACTGGGGCTTATCTGAGCTAACGGATTCAGTTTCATGTGTCGACTAGCTCCGCTATGCCTGCAGTTCAGATTTTTCAACTTGCTGCCCTGTGGGGAAAAAACTGGTTTTGGAGATGGGTCGGCTACGTCAGTTGTGTCCGTTAGCTCAGATAAAGCCCAGTGGGAACGGCCCTTAACTTAATCATCTAAAGCCACATTTCACTCAATAAAATTAACGCTAAGTACTTTTTTATAGTTTTTCCTTTCATTTTTCCTGCTTAGTGTATCATATAATTATTTTTCTTCTTCTTATTATTATTTTGGTTTTAAAAGATATTAGGTATAGATCGAGGAGAAGTTAATGTTCATAAATAAATATAGGAACTCAAATTAAATTTGATTAAAAATTCATTTTCCCCCCCTCTCTCTTTTCTTTTTGACTCCCAGCATTGAAACACATCTTAAATTTCGTTATGATATAAACTTGTTTTCACTGATGCCTGATATTAGATTTATGAAAAAGGTTTAAAATTCTTTAATGCTCAATTTTGATAAAGTCTAAAACAAATATGAAAATCTGATAAATGTACAGTTGCCACGACTTCGTCAAAAACGTCCTGTGAATAATGAAAGTTTTTTAACGATTGATTTATTTAAGGAAAAGTACATGAAGGCTGTTTGCCGAATGAGAGATTAAATCTATGTGATCGTGATGAGGTAAAATTATTTTTTCGAACTTAGGAAATGAAAACTCTCCAGAGATTGCTATATTTATGTATACTATATAATATACTATACATCCACACAAGGCCTTACGTAGTTCTTATTATCTCAACAATTTGTTGTAGACATATATTTCTACTTACAAAAGAGTTTTAGCTGATCCATATATGCAAGCTTTGGCATTTTGAATTTAAAGAAATCAACTTTGGAAAAATAACAAAATCTGACTTTTTATACGCTCCTCCATTCTTCATACTTTGGAGGATTTTGCACCCAATGCAAAAAATGCTGTGCAAAAAGGGCGACCTTTGCGGGGGGGGGGGGGGCGGGTAAATTGAACGAAATATTTGATTTTAAATTTTGAGATCATATTCAGGGGTTGTACACAAGTTGATGAGCGAATGTTTGTAATTGTACGTAAGGTAAAAATAAAATATGAATTTATAAAAAAGTTTCATTTGTTAACAGATTAAGTGACCAACATTTCTATGCGGAATGCAATGAAACGTAATGATTAATATATTTTTTTTCAGAATGGAAATCTTATTCACAAATTCTTATAGAATTTATGTTCTAGAAAACACTGGCAGGCTTCAGTATTGGCGCTTAACCTATTCGTACCATTATTTAAGTAAGTTGAAAAGTATTTCTAATTTAATGACATTTTGAACGATTATCAAATTACGGTTCTAAAATAATGAAACTTCATTAGAGTAACATGTTTTTAGCATTTAAAAACTACTTATATGAAAATTATTTCGGCATACCATTTGTAACAAAATTATAAATTAAAGAAAGTTACACGCTAGTAAATCACAAAATCAGTCACTGAATGGCATTTAAGGGAGTAAATTTCGTATGATTATAATTTATTTATTAACTGACCCCTCAAGGCAGGTTGAAAATGACATTAGGTACCCAAAATTTTGAAATTCAATCTTCGTCAAAGAAAATCTTCGTCATTTTTTGGTATACGGGTGTCAAACTTTCTGTTTTTCATTTTTTATAATGAACATAAAATATTTTTAAGCATAACTATAGAGACCGTGGAGAAAGTTAGATTTCGTAATTTTTACAAAATTGAATTTTTAAATTTACAGATGCCAAAATGTGAATATTTGCGGGATTAAAAACATTTTTATGAGTGGAAGTATATGTCTGTGACAAACGGTTGCAAAAGCAAAGGCCGGGTGAAAAACTTTTGTGAAACTTTTTGTTAACTTTTGTCAAAAAGTTTTGTTATGTACTTATATACGTGTGGGCTTATATATATGCAATGTTATGATAATAGTTTTTAGTGTATTTTTGTTTTGCTAATTATAGTATCAATCGTGAAATTTATCAAGCTGGCATAGTTATATTTCGCTTGCCTGCAAGTAACATATTTTGAAGTAAATCTGGAATGGTGTGAAAGATTAATAAATAATACATTTTTCTTTTTTAAAATCGTAGAATTCGTGAATACTAATATGGAAACAAACAGTATTCCCCCCTCCCAAATAAAATATTCGTTGGATGTGGAGCTAAAAATCCTAGCATATTTTATGATTAGTATCGTAAACCTTGGGAGATCTAATATTTTGAAAGAGATCAATTCAGTTGCGAAATTTTACTTTGTGTCTGAACTAATAATCCTAAAACAGCATTAGAAATATAGTATTTAAATTCTTTTGAACATATAAAATTAAAACTGTAGTGTATGTTTCATTCTACCATTTTTTTAACCTGTTAAATAGAGTGGGGAGAAACTAAATATAATAATCGGAAGCTATGGTTCATCGCTCTAAGTGAACAACGCATCATTCACAAAAAGGGTGTGTAAAGAAGCCCACTAGCATTGGAAGGGATATGATCATTGAACAATGATTGTTCCTCCTAGTTCAGGTTATTTGTAAGGAATTACCGCATATAATTTAGTGATGTAAGTGGTATATCACCAGAACATGTTTTTTTTTTTTTATTTTATTTATTTATTTATTTATTTTTTATTTTTTTAAAAACATTTTTTTTCCACTGGCGGCCAAGTAGCCGACTCAGGTTTGGCCACTACGAAGGCCGGATGTGGCGGCCACTTTAATGTGGAAGCACCTAATAGATGGGCCGCCGTTACCTGCTATGAAGGGACGGACAATTACAGCCATTCCTCTCCGGAATTCGAACCCGGGCCCTTCGGTATCGCCGTAGGCTCCCCTATCCACTTCCCATCACCAGAACAATATGCGATAATTCTATACAAACAGTACGTCTAGCTACCTGTTGGAAAATTTGTAGTTCGAATCCCAGCAAGGCACAATTGAATTTTCGTGCTTGCTGGGTCCGCCGTCTAATAGTCTCTTGTATGATGACTAACGAGATAGTTGTTTAATAGGTTTATAGTTTTTCTCATTTACAACATGAATGCAAGCTATTTTTCTTAGGAATTCTTCCAAAAATGCATATATAACCCTATAGAAATTAATCTAACTTCAATGTAAAAAGAATTTAAAATGTGTCTCAAATAAGTAACTTATACAAGTAATGTTTTCATAATAGAAGGCCATCATTTTACCAAATTTAAATCTTCCTGATATTCTGATACATAAGGAGTTTTGACATTAGAAGTTCCAAAATATTGTGACGCTTTCTGCAATTTGTTTGGAATCGGACTTATTTATAAAAAGTATTGGAAAAACAAGAAAATTTACTTCATATGATTACTAGTTTCTATATTTATAATAAACTAAATTTGAATAGAAATATATAGAAACTTAAAGCGAAATGGTTTTACGGCCTCATTATGGCCGCCATCTTCTTACTCTCGAGTTCTGCTGTATGAGAGATTTCTTCATTTTTTCAATTATTAACTTTGCATGATTTCAATATGCAATAATTAATTTAAATTTCGTAAATTTTCGCACCCCTTTTAATAATCATTTACATCATATGCAATTGATTTCTGAAAAAGAAAATGCTTTATCTAAAGTACTGTAAAGTATGATAGGATAAAGATAGCGCCTACAATAGCAAAGTGTTTCGAATGTTGAATATTTTCAAGTTTTAGTACTGGTTCTTTGTACTATTAGTTTAGACTTACTCTGCATTGCAAGATCATATGCAACAATTAATTTAAAATTTTCTACTGTTTACTTATTCCTATAAAACGCGTTGCAGATATCTTTTAGAAAACTCTGTGATTAGAATATTTTGGTTATTGGCAACACGGTAATACTTTCGCATTTTGTATCTAATTATTGCAACAACATCATTTCCATATTTTATAGTCTATATTCAAATTTGAAGTTATTATTATGTTTTTAAAACTTTGTCTTGGAAATTCTCTCTCATAAGACTATTGCTTTTCACATAAATTATTCCAATAGTAACACTCAGAACAACAAAATAGTTTATTACAAAAAAAAAAAAAAAAAAAAAAATAACAATATTTTAATGAGAACTATACATGTTTGTCCATTCAGTAGCTTTGTACTTGATGGTTGTCATTGTTTACATGCGCAGAAATACTTTACATAGCTGTCATATACTGACTGCGATAGTTCATCAACAATAAGTAGATTGGCAACAGGATCTGAATACTGAGTTTCAGATAAATCTCCAGAAAACATGAGCACAAATGATTTAATACCTGGAAAAAAAAAGATATAATCCAAGAATTTGTTCAAAAACTAACAATTAAATTACATACAAGATTCACGTACTGAATATTATAAAAATATAACTGTTTTATTGTCTTGAAATAACAATATATTTTCATGAACATTTATTGTAAAATGTATTTTATTTTGTCTGAAATTCTCTGTTTAAAATTTCATAGGTAACATGAAAATTTTTAAGTATTCTTTTCACACTCATTAATACTTTGATGGGAGTTACAGCTGTGACAGAAGGAACTCTGACAGACAGCTGTAAAAGATCTCAAGAGCAAAAAGGACTGATTTTTCTTTATATATTTACTTCCTGTATGCGTTTCTATTGTTTTATTTTTGCCTTGTGATAACTTAGAGTTTACTGCGTAGTCTGCGAAGACAGACGTAGCCGTAAGTTCAACGCATAATTTTATTCCTTGATAATTAGTTCTTAGGACACATATTCTTTTTCAGTGCTAGAAGCAAAATGTGCGCAGCTATCTAATATGGAAGCCTAATTAAGAAAAGGTTTCGGTTTAAGTTGCTTATTAAGAGAAAACTTCAGTTCTCGAAATTTTGAGTTGTCATTAGCGCTACGCAGGGGAGGAAAAAAAAAAAAAGCATTACTATTTTTAGAGTAAAGGGGGTGGAGAATTAAGAAGTTATTTGCTAATTCAAATTACAATTTTGATTTACATATTTGTTATTTTACACCTACACACATATCTATCTGTCTATGCATATATATACAGAGCCGGGTTAAGACTTAGAGGCCCTAGCGCTTGAAAGATTTTGGTGCCACCACATATGTTTATGCCAGTTTTTTCTCTCTCTCAGTTATAGTTTAGCTGCACCATGCATTCCATGGTAAAACTAGCAGTGAAAAAACTGTTGGTGCCCCCCTTTCCCGAATACTTAAGAACTTCTTTGTGATGCCCTCTTTCCCTTGATGCCCTAAACACGTGCTTATATTGGTTAATGGTTGATTCAGCCTTATATATCTATATCTGTATCTAGATATTCTTTCGATCTAGCCATAAAATAATAATTTTATTGTTTCATGCTGACATATAATCTCTGCTTAGAAACAGCAAACTATCTTCTGGCACCACGTAATCGCAGAATCTCGTCTGGATGGAATTTGGAAAAAATTACTGGCAACTTAAAGCTAAGAAATATGTTTAGAAGAAGCCAAAAAGAGAGGGATTATATGTCAGTATGAAACAATAAAATTATTATTTTATGGCTGTGATGAAAGAAAGCAGATAAGAAATAAGCAAGAAATCGGAATTTGGTTTTAAAATGTGAATATTAAAAAGAAGTGTGAAAAAAAAGGAGAATTCTACTATAAAATATTCCGTTGCCTTTATTGCAGAGTGAAAAAGAAAAACCTTAATTTTATTCTTTTCAATCTCTTATTGTTATAAAAAGAGAAACAGATAAAAATTATTATCTTTTAAGGGGTATGAGGAAGAATCAGAAATGTTTTTTAAAGGAAAAGGGAGGACGGTAGAAATATGTTAAGTCAGCGTTCCTTTTTTGAAGGTTTAACTGTTTTCATTAGAAGGGATGGGAAATTCTAAAGCTCCTGTTTGTTAACAATGGGCTATTTATTTTTAAGTGCTTCTAAATTAGCGAATTGTTACTTCATGTATTGATGCATAGTAACGATATGCACATTTAATTCTTGCGAATCGCTTTTGTTTAGTTAGGAGTTATGCTGATCTCTTTGCTAAAAATCGGGAGGGGGAGTAGGTGGTGTATTTAATTATGGCAAAGCAGACTAGGGCTATCTGCCTAAGGGAAGGGATGCCTTCGTGGAGGACTTTCTAATTGAAACTAGCTTGTATACACGTTACATGGGGAAAACCACGAAAACGCCCATGCAGCCAGCCCGTTCGCGGGATTCGAACCTCGGACCGAACTACCAGTGTTCAGCGACTTTACCCCTCGGCCGATGGTGGGCCCGGGAGGGGAGTAGGAATGAATTTTCAATCAATTAGGTGCATCAAAATGAACACATATTTGGATTTTTGGAATGCTTGCATATCAAACCATTCTTTTGATGTTTGCTAATTAAAAGAATATTCTACTTCATCAGTTCTTTCTGTAGCTCGTGATTTATTCTAATAATGTAATTTTTATTCTACTAAATCATCAGTTAAGCAGTAGCACATTTTAAAGTTAGTACTTACCAGTAAATGTTTTGTAGCATTTACTTTAACTACACTACTGTAAGATATTAAGACAGTAAAAGATTTTCCTTACCTTTTCATCCAACTTATTTTTCTAACTTCCAGTTTGAGATGCTTGAATAATGCAAAAAAAATCTATATGTAATATAATCATTACCTTTCAACATAAGGTTTCTGGCAAAAATATACGACTAGGAGCCTTTCTGTAATATAATTTCTTATTAAAAGTACAGTCCTACAATAATAATTTATGTTTCTTTGATGCTGAGAAGACTAGGTAATTAAGCAAGCTTTTATTACGGAGGTACATAAAACATTACTTTGCAAGCGGGTTTCATAAAACCGAAATTACTGTGAAAGAGCTTTAGGACGAGACATTTCTTTTCACAAAATGCGTATCAAATGTTGGCTAAGAATGCTTCAGTTATATGCTTTGACTATGACTCATTTTGCAATCATGACATAACTCCAAAGCATCAAAAGAAATATATCAACACAAGTTTTCATCGTCAGTTATTTAATAAAAAATCACTCTTAGTACTATGTTTTTTATTATTATAATTGAAATTTTTTAATCTGCTTGTACATGTGGTACATGCACAAAGTTAGACAAAATCCCCAAACTATGCACTCTTATACTTTGTCGTTATTAATTAAGCCCGTCCACGCTAAAATAGCTCACAGTTTTTTAAAGATGAGAATGATGAATCTTCGCGTTTTCTGACTGTCACAGCATGTGGATAAAGATTCTAATTGTCCTCTTCGTAAGCCTGAAGTGCTGTTAATGGTCATTTCATCTTGGAACTGATTCCAATGAGCTATTCTAACCACACAGAATTTTCTCGGTATTTAAATTTCAGGGCACGTTTTACCCAATTTTTCAAACAAAACCTTCACTAAGCAAGCACTATGCCAAAAAACGAGTTATGTCAAAATTAATAGATATTTCCGTATTATGTTTTTTGTATTACGAACATTTGATATTGTCACATTGGAAGTGTTCTAATATGTGTTGCAAAATCAGTTTTTAGACTTAATACAAAGGAAAAAAAAAAAAGAGTTTATAATTGTTCTCGTGTATGAAATTCTATATATTGCTGCCACAGATAAAAAATACATTAATTTGGAAAACAATAATAAAAGCAAAACTTAATTATCATGCACTAAATATTAGGAACAAAAATTTTTGTACTTTTTTAAAATTAATTATGTGCTCTGCCATTAGTCACTGCACGGAAAGGGAGGGATGGCCCGTGGAGGACTTTCTAAGGGAAACAGGCTCGTATCCACTATACAGTTGGGGAAAACTAGGTACCAGGTAACGGAAGACGGGACACTAGTAATCTGCCGTCTTACTGCATAGTTAGACAGGTGTAGTCCCACGCTCCCCGCTGTACTAGAATCCGCTTCACGCTGTAGCTTGGAAAGGAGTGCAAAGGAACACTGGGAAAACTACGAAAACATCCATGCAGCCAGTGCGTTCACCAGGACTCGAACCCCAGTCCGAACTGCCAGTGTTCAATGGCTTTTTCCGCTAGGGCCGCTGGTGGACATTTTGACACTTCAGCTGATTAATTTTTGTATGAAGGATAATTATTGATTGTTCTTTCTTTCTTTTTTGGATTTTTTTATTGAAGTTGAATTTGCTACACTATGTTTATAGTGTTTCCTTAAGCATCTGCTACATACATTCATTCTACAATGTAGGCAAAGTATCGATAATCTCTGCCACTGCATATTATGGGTTATGCATATCATATTACTACATATTATGGATTACAATAAAAGGATGATTAGCTAATTTATCTCAATCTTGCGAAAACTGATTTGAGAACTTACTTTTACAACTTCGCTGATTTATTTTTACTTTCACCAGCCGTGACCATATCCATGCCCTACATGTGTGGTGTGGAAGAGTTTGATGTATTTAATGACCGGAACAGGAGGTGGAACATGTTTGACGACTTTTATGACATGAACAGGCTTGATGATCTTGATAACCTTTGGTTCTTCATACCAGCCACCGTGATATTCGCCGCCAGACGTCACGGTTGCAATTACAAGGAGCAAAGCAAGGGCCGCCACCTTTAACGACAAATTTACGATTTTACCATTCACATTATATTAGTATTTTCAAAAGATGAGTAACAAACGTATTACAACGAGAACTGAAAAAATACTTCGAAAATATTACGGATAACACATAATTTTCTTAATTACTAATATTTATTAGAAGAACATATGACAGCGTAGACATGATTCATCTGAAATGCGTACAGTGACAGCAGATAGGGTTATTTAAAGATTCTGTCATCGCTCATAACTTTCTGTATGAGATGGAAGGCGTACTAGCAAAGAACTTCAACGCTAAGTAATTTCTAAACTAAGAACTTCTAAGCTTCTAAGTAGCTAAAGGGAAATAAAATAAATAGCTTTGCGAAGATATTTCACCCTCGTCTTCATTTTACAGGGGTGTGAATAAAAAAAAGAAAGAAATTTTACTAAGATTTATGATTTTAATTTATTTTTTTTAAATGTTAATTTTGGTTATTTCTCGGCTGTCCGTTCTTGACATGCAGTGAGGACAGAACTGGATCTTTTTCAGCGTACATTGCATTTTTATGATACATTTTATAAACTAGAGATATTTTCTGTTTTACTAATTTGGAAGAAAGAATTACATTAAAAAATTTTATTTTTATATAGATGGCTGAATTACAATTGTTGCAAATATCTTTTTAAGAGAAGAAAATAAAAATTTCGTGCAGTGTATAATTTTTCACTTCACAACTAAATATCAAATCTTCACACTGTAAAATGCAGGCAAAATATTTCAGTATTCAAATTTCTCATTAAAGCTGCATTGTTTTTGCAACATTTTAACATGCAATGAGGTTTCTCAATGTAAAGTTTTTCACATTTTTCGATTAGGATTAGATTTATTTAACTGGAAGGTTAGTTTGTTTTGGTTTATTTGATTATGGCAAAGCATTCGCGGGCTCTCTGCCTGAAGGGAGGGATGTCTTCTTGGAAGACTAAGGGAAACTGGCTTGTATGCACGTTGCACATGGGGAAAACCACGAAAACGCGCATGCAGCCAACCCGTTCTCTGGGATTCGAACCTCGGACTGAATACCAGTGTTCAGTGACTTTACCGTTTGGCCTATGGTGGTACATACTTGACTGGAAGTATTTAATGCTCATGACTTAAGCAGATAGATAGTATAAATGAGTAATTTTCCGTAGCAATAGGTATGATATACCTTTTTAACTCTACTAAAAACTCATTTGTAAGTTGCATTTAAGCAACGAAAAAGCACTCTAGAAATTTTCTTGTAGTTTCTTGTGTTGTACCTAAATTCACAATTAAAAGAAAGCTATAGGTCAGCAAAATATCCTAGAGGTTTTGGAAAATTAATTAAAATTCTTTAACATACAGATTATATCATTATGAGCTATTAAAAAACACTGATACATTTCACAAAGGAATGACTAGGAACTTAGGAACTTTTACATTAAAAAGTCAGTAAAATTAATTAAACTGGAAGTTTCTTAGAAGTTACTTTTAGTTTGACAAAGAAGTTAGAATCAATGAGTGATAACATGTGATACTAAAAAGTAAAATTTTCCTTGTAGATGCTGTCATGCTTTCTTTACGGTACTAAATCCATTAGATTTCTACGCAACAGTTTCATTTTCTCTTAAACTATCTGTTCAGCTAATTCCGAAATGAAATTAATTACTTCCTTGAGTTAAGATAAAACTGTTAGTGGAAAAGAAATGTAAAAACTATGTGTTATTTCATAAATTTTACAGAGAAGCAAAGAGAAGGAAACATAATATATTGTGAGTCACTTGATGTAAAGTAAATTTTAAGTCGTCGAAGAGAAATAATTTAGAAGTGAGATTTTCTTCACATATGGGTTCTTAAAAATTTGGATAAATTCAATGAAATTCTGGGCAGTTACGTTTTTAAGAGTTTATTAAAAAGTCCCAAAATTATACTTTATTTGTAAAGGAAATCATGCTGCAATAACAGAAAACCGTAGTGTTATAACTTCTTTCATGCTCATCACTATTTAGCCACTCTGCTGCTAGATTTCAGTTTGGTGATGTAAGGGATTTAATGTATCTGTATTTTTTGGTCCCCTTTTTTTATAAAGATTATAAGATTATGCTTTTACTATCTGGCGTCTCTGGCTTAAAATGATTTCATACATGATCACTTCGTGCGCTTGGGCGCAAAGTAAAAATCCATTCGAGTATCCGAAGATTTCTTTCATATCTGTGTCAGGATTTCATTCGTCGGTTTCTTCCTAACCCGTGTCAGACTCTTTTGTTAGGATTTCATAAGCTCTTTGAAGTCTCTTACTCACTATTCAAACTTTTATTTTTGGGCATTTGAATTTTAATCAGAGTTTTGTTGCATAGGACCTATTTACTTCGAGACTAGGGAAGTTTATCACTTGATAGAAAAGATAGTTAATTTTTTCCGGACACGAAAATGATCATAAATAATGGTGCATTTAGAAAAAGGATAATTTTCCTTTTAATGCTTTTAAGACTTTTAATATTTTCTTTAATGAAAAGTATTATTAGTAAATCATTTTAGGAAAGCTTTTGAATTAGGTCTTTATACTTACAAGCTAATTTTATGTTAGCTATAAACGTTACAATTTCAACCGAAATTTCTTTTTCAAATGTATGCAAATATAAATAATATATTTAATATCAATGATAAACGAGTTACTCTTTGTAATATTTAATTTTTTTCAAACTAAGTATTAAAATATAAACTGAAAACTGAAAATGCTTACCAAAGCCTTCATATTTTTTATACAGTTTTCGTCTCTAAACTGTGTTGTACGAAACAAATAAGCTTGACTGATGTTCATCTATGAGAAAAGTGCCCCTTATATAGTCTAAAAAACATGCCACCTCCGCCCTTTAATCCATACCGAAGAGTGAAACAGAAAGTGGGTGTTACCTGATTACTGCCTCCCCCCTTAGAACCTTATTGAAAAGTAGCAAGCAGGAAGTAACTTCTTCCGGTCGCCTCTCGACCTTAGAATATGAATTCCTACACGCTGATGAAATCGAAAGTTCTCGTTCCACCTAAGGGGACTATTCTGCTTTAAAGTGGCGAAAGCACAACCGGAACTAGACCAACTTGCCCTACTTTTGTCGGACACCACAGTGCTCTGTTTCTTTACCGAAAAGTCTAAAATCTTTCAGGTCATATCTGACCAGCAGGGAAAAGCCCTGGGCTCCAGGAACTGTAAGTCACACTTTTTGACTTCATTAATAAGCATTTTCAACCTGACGATAAAGCAAATTTTTAATTGCTACTGTTAGAGGTTTTATTCCAGTCCATTAATTAAAGCAGTTTATTTTGAAACCTGATTTGATAAATATAATACAAGCTGTTATTATTAATTAATCTTCTCTTTGAACAATACCTGAAAGAAATAGAAATAATTACCCTTATACATATATTTATTTATCTTCGAACATATTGAAATATGCGCTCACAAGCATTTGTTTGGGTCATCAAAGCGAATGAAAAGCTTATTAGTTTTCGTCAAAACAATAGCCAATATTTAGAGAAATGTGTTTTATACAAAGAATATGACTTGAAGTAAATTTTCTGTTGTCTGATTAATATTAAAAATATATCGCCTCTCTTAATTTAGGATTTTTTTCATTAACTCCGTAGTTATTTTTGAGAGGATAACGATATTATGTAGCAATGTTGTCAGCAATAAACACAGGATTGAAAAAATGCTTTTATATTACAATAAGCTAATACTATTTCAAACTATAATGAATTTCATTTGCGTTGCATCCAAAAATATGCCATTATTTGATAATATGGGAAAAATGGCTAAATAATAATTTTAAATTTGATTTTACTTAAATCAAGATTTAGCAAAGAAACTTACATTTTACATCGCATGTTTGATCCCGATGCAAAAGAGTTTAGTTCAATTTTGAGCTGAAATAACTTTTACATCTTATATAAGTCTTGGGGGGTAAACAAAATGATTTGGTTTTTACATATTTTTTTAAAATTACTTAAGTAATGCAAAGAACTCACTGAAGGCAGTATTGAATTTTAAAGTAGTCTATTCTAATATACTTATAATTTCTCTACAGTGGTGCCCGAACTAAAAGGGAGGGTATGATAACCGATCGCCGGCTTGGATCGGTTTCAAATCCCGTGAACTGCTTAGCTGAATGAGCGTTTTCATAGTTTACCCCGTCTTGTAAGGTAGATGCAAGCCAGTTTTCCTTAGAAAATCCTCCACAAAGGAATCCTTTCCCTTCGGCAGCTAGCTTTCGAGTGCTTTATCATAGTTTAATTAAACCAAACTACCAATTTGGTTTGGTGTGTAGTGGGTTTAGGGGGATTATAAAAAAATAAAGCCATTCCTCCCATGTTTTGTTGTGGTATAGCGGTCAACGCATGTAATACGGATTCGGATTCAGTTTCCGGCGAAGGCGCAGTTGATTTTGTAGGATTTCCCGCTCGAAAATATCTTCACAAATGGGCCTAATAAAAATCTTTTGAGAGCTGTAAGGAGTATCACGTCAAAATGTAATATTTCCCAAGCGGTACTTCTGGAAAAAAAATTAATATTTCTTTTTGAGAAGTTTGGTCATTGATTCGATATATATCATGTATTGGAAACGTAAATTAAATCATATACAGTATCCTTTTACCGGTTTCACCTTAAAAAGGCACATTTTCTTTCAAAAAAAACTTTTTTTTTTTTTTTTTTTTTTTTTTTTATCATATGTCAGATTTTCGTTATCAGTTTTAAGAAAAAGCGCAGTATACTGTAAGAAGAAAAACACATGTGACCCTGTTCAAAAAGCAAAGTTAAATAAGAACTGCAATAATAATTTCATTTAGAGATTACAAACTGTGCCATTTTTGGATCTTTTTCATTATTTCGTGTTGGTTACATTGCTGCTCAGTATATATATCATTTTCGCTCTCTCTGGTTGATTCTTAATTTGAGCAAATTTTAAATGATGAGCTCGAACGAGCGGATGGAAAATTCTTGAAATTATGATGAACTACTTGTATATCAGGCAACAAATCACTTCTTACGACACTGATATTATCTGTAGGAAAATGTCATGCTGTTTAGCTTCAAAACAAGAAATGGAATAAATAAATAAAAAGAAAATTGCGGCTTTATAACTAAGTAAATAAACATTTAATAAATTTATATATAAAACATATATGAATGCTTTTTTAAAGTATGGTTTATTATTTATAACCTATTTTGCATCCTTTTTCAGATTTACCGGCTGCTCATTTATTTGACCAGTATCTGGTTAAAAAAAACAATTAATCGGAGGTCTGTTGTATTTAGAATGTTTGGTGTCATTTTACGTGCTTCCTGTATTCAAGATAACTTTTAATCTTAGGGTATGATATTCTACTAAAGTAAGATTTTTTTCTTCTTAAAATTCGAGCTTGTATGTCTGTTGAATTCGAGTCCCCAGTCGTGCGCGCAAGTAGCCTGGATCAAGTTGCGAGATTTAGAATGCCTTATAAGAACTCTTTGCATGTTGCACAAAGTATGCAAATTGAACGAATAATTTCACAATCTATGGGCTAGATCCAGACCATGCTTTATGGGCATGTATGCAAATTAAAAAAGAAGAAACTGGATTTAAAGAACCTCCTCACTGCAAAGATGCTCAACATATTTTTCAAGGATCGGCAGATAATGCTTTAAGAGAGAGTTTTTTGAGAACTTCTTTTGTATTCGATTTCGAATTCTTCAACTGGTTAGTTGCACTGGTTAATTCGATTTCGGGGATTCAACTGGTTGAAATGGAGGTTTCACAATTTTGACTGTGTAGAATACGAATATTTCCCTTAAAATGCTTTTCACGATTTGGAAAGCTCTTGACTATTTTGCAGTAATGGGTTTTGATTTGGGTTACTTAGATTACGGCAAAGCACCCAAGAGTTCTCTGCTTAAGTGAAGGGTTGGAAATAGTTTTAAGGGAATCTGGCTCGGGTTCAAATTATATTTGAGGAAAAGTGTGAAAATTTCCATGCAGCGAGATTTTTTGCAAAATTTCAACCCAGGTTGAAATATCTGCGTTCAGCGGTAATTCAGCTTAGCAACTGGTAGGTCTGTTTTGGAGAAATTTAATTGTAGAATCATTAGCATTTTTGATAGTGGAGGTGTGAAAAATGTTCAGTGCCCTCTCCGGGACACTAACCTGGACCTCTCGAATACGCGCCGAGTGTGCTACCGTTATGCCACGTAGGCATGCTGGAAGGAGGGGTCTTTAATATAAACAGTATGCATCCTGCATTAAGAAAAGCAGTGGAATATCAGATACCAATTGTTTGCGTAGGAGAACTGGATATATTTACTGACGGTTCGAGTTATGACAATAGAAATGTTACAGCATATGTGGTTTACTTATTTGGTACAGAAATAAACTATGGCAAAATTAGACTTGAACCTTACAGTTCGGTTTTTCAAGCCGAATTGTTTACTATCATATTTGCTTTTAAAAGAATTGATGAGAACCAGACTGTAAAAACATATATTATTATATATACAGACTCATTATCTGGTTTGGAAGCATTAACTGATGTTAGTAACACTAATATTTTGGTCTCATATATAAAATACCTACTTGTAAAAATTAAGAAAATACATGAAGTGAAAATAAAGTGGGTGAAAGTTCATATTGGTGTTACAGACAATGAGAGGGTCAACAGGCTGGCCAAAGAGGCTGCTGTGGGCAATGCCAGGGATGCCTTCGATATTCAGGCATATTCAGGCATTATTTGTTGTACTTTGAAGTTTCTAAAAATATGAGAATGATATGTGATTTTGATTACAATCAAATAATTATTGGATACGGGAGCTTCCCGGGGTACCTGAAAAAACTTAATTTGCAAAATAATAGTCTGTATAATTTTTGTAGTGCTGAAGGCAATGCACGACATTTCGTCGAAGACTGCGTATTGCGACATGGTAGGGAAAAACATGGTAACATAAAGGAATTCTATTTCCGCAGGAAAGAGTTTATATTTACAAAGGATATTTGCTGAACTCTATAAGTCGCAATAGAACAATATTGGGAATTTTAATTTGATGTTTTTAATCTGTATTTTTGTTTTGATCTATGTTGGGTGTGCTGTGTTAATCGCGAGGCCGATTATTATCGGGCAGGAAGGTTGCAGCACACTCGTACATTACATTACATTACCTTATATACTCCTCCTTTAAAAGGCGAATGGGAATTAGGGGACGCAATCGCCAATTCCTGGTGGTGAAGAATTATTGTCCACCACCTTTTATTTTGGGCGCCACTGTAGAGTCATTAGGTTTTGTTTTTAAAACAAGAGAAGTGAAAAATGTGCAATGCTCTCGCCGGGACTCGAATCTGGACCTCTCGAATACGCGCTGAATGTAATACCATTACATCACGTAGGCATGCTGGAAGGAGGGAGAAAATAGCTTATTAAAATAACATGAACGTTTGCTAAAGTAAATGTCTTGAATCTGAAAATTATTGTAGTTTATTTCTTCGTCTGAGAATCAAGCTTGGTTCTCTTCGTGTGCAAAGAAACGCTACTAAAACCGTTAGTTAATTTCCCTTAATTTCCCGTAATGTCTACTTGGCCTTTTTAGTTCAGTTAAGTTTTATTGCTTATTATTCCTGAGTTCAAGCCTAAGTGGAGGCTTCATTGTAACTCCAAGAAGGAGTTATCTGCTAAATTTATTTTGAATACTAAATGGGTAATTAACCTTTCGTACGTTTACGTTTCTATCTCTCTGAACTAAGCGATTATTCGCTTATCAGTTCTCAACGTTCCAGACACATTGCAGTTCATTCAAAGTTTGGAATCTTACACAGTAAATTTTCAGATTTTTGTTGCACAGGTGTCATCAGTTACCCGAATATGAGCCAATTCAAAAATGCTGTCAAAATAAACAATCATTTTATTTATTTTTCATGCTATATAAGCCGCGTATGAATCGTTCTTTTTACTTTAGACAGACTAAATATAATGAAATTACTCTTTTTGAGCAAGCATAGAATATATGAATACTTTGCTCTTTTTTGCAGATGCTCACATTTATAGTTAAGGATTTGTTAGCCTCTCTGTATTTGGATATTACTATGCCTTTTTTTTAATCGTCTTAGTAAGATTTCTAATGAAAAAAATATCATTGAAGTCTGTCATTCTAAATTCATTTCTATTTTAATGAAGCTTGCAATTCGAAATCCATTTAATTTAATTCTAAAAATATGAAAGCTAATTAAAAATTTTTGTCTTTCTTGGTTTGTAAAATGAATTAAATACTTAAAAATTTCAGAAAATTTTGTCAGAAAGTAAACGGAAACCGACATAAAGGCGATGATATACCGTGTAATTTATGGATTTATGAAAATTAGATCATTTTATATTACAGAGGGTATTTACGGATTTTTAGAACTCGATAAAAAATTAAGAAAAAACAAATATTTTGGGTGACAAATTTCTGGCAACAGCTTGTTATTAGAAAGGAGAAATATCATCTACTACTTTTAAATTAATTCTTCTTTGAAAATGTCACATGTAAACAAGCTGGGGATTGAAGGATAGTTTTTTTTTTTTTTTTTTTTTTCGGTTTCCAAAGAGAAATATTCTCATTTCATAATTCAGAAATGTTACCAAGTTCACGGTATTAAAATTTTTAACTGAAAAAAAAGCAGCATTATTAATCATACAGGGAAAAACTATCAATCATTACTTCTACATAGAAAGAAGACTACAAAGGAATATCCTAAGAACGTACATAGTGTTTCTAATGTTTCTCAAGTTAAATCGTTGGAAACGAGAGAAAATCTGTCTACGCAGAAATCATTTGCACAGACTTTAATACATCTGTCTATGTTCACCAGTTTTTTTCAAAGCGTGTGGTTCAATGCAGAACAATTTGTAGAAGCCTGTATAAAAACATTTTGGCAGGAGATAAATGGAACATACTGTAACCCTGTAGAGTCATTAGGTTAATTGGAAGCAGAAGAAATGAAAAATATGCAACTGCCTTCACCGGGAATCGAACCACGGACCTCTGGAATACCGGCCCAGCGTGCTGCCGTTACACCACGAAGGCACGCTATGGAAGTGGGAGAAATACCTTATAACCCTTGGTGAAACATGGGTTCACCCAAACGTTTTCAACAAAAATGGTTTATATATTATTGAAAACTAAGCGAAAAAATATACGAACTAGGTTCCATCAATGGAAAAGAAAGTTACATTAAGAAGTTTATGATTGTCGCAGGATTCTCTTACAATTTAAGATTAAAAAATAAGAAGACTGAAAAACAAAAATGTTAAAATCAACGCAACGTACCATCAAGGGAAAGTTTTATGTCCGATATTTACAGAAGAAATTTCATTTCTTTATTCCAATGACTTTCAGAAAATTAAAGTTTATCAAGACAAAGCAACAAGTCGTACTTCGGAAAGTACCACTGCATTCCTCGAGAAAAGGAAAACTGACGCAGTTAATACATTTATATCTTTTCAACGTATTCCTGTGAAGTCTCTGATGTTTCACCTTTGGATTTTTATGGCTATAGTCTCTTAAAAATAGTCTTTATAGCAGCAAATACCCCGCGACTGATAAACTCTGGAAAGTAGTGGAAGAGAAACGGAAATAAATACCCCCGGAAATCTTAACGAAAGCCCTCTGTCTCGGAAATCACGATGCAGACTTATAGTAAAAAGGAAAAAGGCTATCAGATCCAACACTTAAAAAAGTACTCATTACATTTTTGAACATTAAATAGCCAAAAGGTCGTTCTAAAAATCTGTAAACACTCTTTGTTTTACACATATTTAATATACAATTAGCTTGATTTATTCACATTCTAAGCTATTACGTGATGTAGGAAATTGCAAGACAAAAATATGAAACACATTTCAAGGAAGGATCGAACATGAAATTGGATCAAAGTACGATTTAGAAATTGTTACAAACCCTTGACCTTTGTACAGTGTTTCTGAGAAATACGTTTCAAGCGCTATATACTGTATAACAAAAAAAAAAAAAAAAAAAAAAAGTGTTATGTGTGTGCAACGACCAATCTAATTGCAATTGAAAGAGGATCAAGGTAATAAGAAAAATTAAAACCTTTTTCTTGATTATGGATATAAATTGATGATTTGCATTCATCATCACAATAGGTTCCCACAAATCTTCGTTATAAAATATTCCCACACTTGAATATGTTTCCATCTAAATGTGAAACACAGACTAGAGAAAAGTGTTCTCCATTAACATTTAATCAGCAAGAAGGCTAATGATTATGTGCCATTTAGTTTCTCTTTATTATTATTATTTTTTTTTTTCGTTGGAGAACAATCCTAGGAAAACAAAGGCACTAATTTTTTTTTGCTCTATTTTTCTTTTCTAGAGAAGGTGATCTTTCGGTTACATAATACCTAAAAGCAACCTAGAAACTAAATCAAAGTTAGGTAACTTCAAAAAATTAATTGATTGCTTCCTCAATCCAGTTTCCTCAATAGGTGTTTATTTGTGTTAAAATCTATTGTATCACAATTTTCGTGAGTGAAACAGAAACAAAGTTGACATGGGTCTGACAACAATTTGTAAGTTAATAAGCTCGTAATGTCTTCTCGAAAAATAATTTTTACAGTTTTTTTCCTTTTTTAAATATAAAGTTTATAAAATCTATAGGATTAAGCTTATAAAAACTATTATTATCTTACTGAGCATTTTTTTTTTTTTTCTAGCTACTGAAGTTCGTGTTAAGCATAATTTGAGTGCAGCAGTTTCCTCTGAAGCAGGGATGTTATATCGAAAAGGTATTGGATTTGAAACCACGTTGTTTGAAATTTTCTTGAACTTCACAAGTTGTGATTTTGAATTGTCATCACTATCCATATACATAAGCATTTTGCAAGTAGATTAAATGCAACTGAAACTTATGTATCAATTAATGCATTAACTAAATAAATGTGGATGTACTTCTGTAAAAAATCAGATCCAGAAACATATTAAAAGAAACTCAGAAAGCAACGAAAAGTGTATTTCTACAAAAATAGCAAGTGAAAAATTTACAGTTTTCTTAAATTCTTTCTAATTTGGTTAAAGAAAGAAAGAGCAGAGAGGTTCGAAGGTGAGTTTAAATTTGCTGCATATTTATAAGCCACATTTTGTTCTTGGCCAAAGACGAAAAATTAGAGCTTTTTGGGGCAAGTATGCATTTCTTTAATATGTATTAGGGGTGGTCAAATCGTTCGAGGAATAAAATTAAGCAGATTTAGATGGAATTTTCCTTTAACGCTATAGAACTCTTTATAAAATTACGAGCCGTTAACTTTTTCTCTTCCAAAGAATGTTTAATTATCTTGTAGAAGCATTAGGTTTATATTGAAGCAGGAGATATGTAAGATATGCAATGCCCTCACCGGGACTCGAACCTGGATCTCTCGAATACGCGCCGAGTATGCTACCGTTACGCCCCGAAATGATGCTGGAAGGAGGGGGAAAATACATTATAATATCATCCCATTATTCTTCACTGTTAATATCTTAACTTTAGTCACGTGCATACTGCATTTCTTTCTTATAATTTACTAAGGTATTTTATCTGCAAATTGTTTTTCTCAAAACTTTTGGACAAAATTTAAGTTACTAATGCTTTAAAAAAACATAAAAATAATTTTTATTGAACCTGCATGCTACTCAATCGAAATTTTCTTAAAACATTTAGTGATAATTTTCTTCAAATAGAGTGAATCCATTTATTAAATATAATTTTAACGTTACATTGAAGTAGCTGAAATGAAATTCAATTTCTGTTATATAGAAATTCTGCATGCAAAGTGCTGAAACACAGATTGACTTTGTCATTCCAGTGATTCTCATCTCATTACGTTAAATTACATGGGGGCGTTAAATTATATGGTTACGTAAACAAAAAGATGTAATCCTGTAGAACAAAATAATATGAAATAAGATAGCAGACCTTTCTTTTTATTTAGAGAGGAAGTATACCAAATATTTTCTTCAAGGTAAAAGTGAAAGAGGAGTAAGACTCTAAGTTTAGTAAAATAGCTTAAAACATTTTTATTTAGTGGAGAAAAAGAGGAGGGGGGGGGAAGGAAAAATAATAGTTCAGCAATGCTTAAAATGTCTAAGCTCTTGCATTTTATTAAACATTTTTAAATTACAATTTATATTTGTAATTGATGAAAAGATAAATTCTTAGAAAGCAACGGAAACATATGGAATTTTATATATTAAAAACTGTCTGAAATATTTTGCTTAATTTAATTTATTTATTCGCATTCTAAGGTGACAGTATCAAGCGTTTTAAAAGAGTTCGCTTTTATATGTCCTATTAAACAGATATGTTTGATAAGTGTTATATTTGTAAGAGTACTGACTGAGCATTTGCGTTTGAAAAAAATAATATCTAATATTTTCGATTTTCTGAAGTTAACATTCTGAGATCCATAATTACTATTTTCTTACTAATACGCCGACTGAATGTGGCATTCGATTTATCAAACTATGACATATGTCCAGCAGCAAGTAACCGCCTTTCCAACAAATTCAGATGTGTATAATGTAAACAAATATTTGGTCACCAGATATTGGCATTTGAAATCAAAGCTTATCTTAAAAAATTATACAGAAATACGATAAAATATTCATCACATCACGCAGCAGTTCAGGAAGTTGTAACTTAATGGGATCAGACCTCCTGAACTTAAAGTTCAAACTGTATTCAAATATTTTATTATCAGCCATAATTTGGTACAGGGGTTTTTCGAGGTTAACTTAGGAATCATTTCCTGTTATAAAATAATAATAATAACGAAAAGTGCTTTATTATCGGATATCGCATTGAACCCGAGTTCAAGTATTTTGTATTAGATGCTGGCAAGTTTAATAAATATTTATGTAAGCAGTCTGTTAGCGTGAATAAACAACAAAATTATTATTCCTTTATTACTTTCTTTTACATGTCTTTAAATAATTCAAGGGAGAAAAATTTTATTTTGACAAACTACTGAACAAAACCAGATAAAAAAATAAATTACCAGATGACTGTTGCACAATAAAATTGCACTGGAAGAATAAAGTTCAGTAGTTTGTGTTCTTTCCCAATCTAAACGCTACGAGAAGAGGATAAACAATTAAGCCAGTCCAAGTCTGTTGATGAATTGCCATCCACCATATTTAGCTCGGGCGACAGATCTGGGGGAATACGGTGAGTTTGGAGCTAGGATTCGTAGAAAAGTTCACCATGCTTTTGGCCTAGTCCAGGACCTTAAATTCTTGTCATAGTTGGTGATTGCGATATAGCATGAAAATTAACTGACTTCATTCTAATCTTTTTAAGTAAAAATATCTCATTTTCAAGGCACACGGCAATCTTTCTGTTTAATGGACCACAAGGGAGAGTTACGGAAAATCCCTTTAAATTCCATGGAATCAGTCTTCTGTGCTAGGAATGGAGTCTTGGGAAAAATATTCCCAAGCAATGAATGTACCAGCGAATCAGCGATTTCATGCATTCCATTACTGTGGTCGCTCCGATCCAACATATATGTGATCTGTTATTATTATTATTATTTTTGAATATAAAAGATAAGGTATTGGCAAACAAATGGGAAGAGCGAAAAAGGTTTTATCAACTTCTCGGTTAGTTATACTCGTATTTTTGAATCGTTTTAACATCTCTGGCCATTTGACATTTTATTTGTTTTAGAAAAAAATTAGATGTTGTAGCTATTACTTAAAACTGAAACCATATAAACTTAATTATATTCCTGCATTTTTGCCTCTTTGTTTCAAAATCAGGCATTATACTAATCAACAAATGTTCTGCAGAACAAAAATACAGTTTTGCGTGTTCAGTGATTAGATGCCAAAGAATAAATGGTGAATTTTGCAATGCATTTCACAATTTCTAGTTTACATATAGTTTTTTAAAACTCTATCAGCAGCTAAGCGGTAAAGTCCCTGAATACTAGTAGTATGACTCGGGTTCAATCCTTAGGACGAACGGGCTGGCTGCACAAAATTTTTCGTGATTTTCTTCATGCGTAAATACCAGCCAGTTTTCCTTAAAATGTCCGACGCGAAGGAATTCCTCCCCGTAGGCAGGTAGCATATTTTTTCCCGTAATTCAAATAATTCTCGTCTTCTTCTTATCCACTTCTTTTCCTTTTTTAAATTTTATTGTTTTATAGCAAATTTATGTAATTCTTTTACATTTTTATTTTTATCGTTTTATGTGTAATCATAGCGCATTTAAGTGTATGATCAGTTTAACTATATAGTATGTTAATTTCTGTGCAGCTGACAAAACAGAGTTTTGTGTAGTTATCAGAATGTAACAGAGCATGAGCTATGGTCTGTTAAAATCTAACGAGGCTTGGCAATATTGCAAAGGTAACCAACAACATTTGGTGAAATCATGCCGAATATGAAGACACTCTGTTTCAAAAATGTGGTTTCGTGGACTAAAATCGTACTGAAGGCTATTCCTCTTCATTCTATCTCGCTCATGAGTAACACTACGCAAGAGCGGCCAACAGTAAATCGAGTTATAGTTCAACTTTGAATTCATCAATGAATAATCAGTATTTTGAATCTCAATTCGGTGGACATGTTCCCAGCAAACAGTATTTGCTCTTTTTATGCGCCGGCGTTTTGAAGATGTGAAATTATTGTTCATTTCTGGACTTAAATTTGCAATATTTGTCCATAGTTACAGAAGGATTTTAGCGGGATCTTCTTGCTGATAGAGCTTCATTTCCCTTGTTTTATTATTTCAGTTAATTCGACATTGCTTAGAGCTCTAAAACAGAATCATGCATTTCATTCTGTCTTACCACTTTATTTGGGAAACTGATTTGAACCTCCAAACGTGCAACAAATATCATTGCAACAATACAGTTAACCGAAACTCACTCTTTTCGCTTGCCTTGATTTACTGTTATTTGTTTACAGTAGCCTGTTTAGGCCTTCAATGCATTTTACTTTAAATACATACAAGACGATAGGGCCAGACGAGTAAAGCCATTAAACATTAGTAGTTCGCTTCAGGTTCTACCGCCAGAAATTGATAAAGTTAGTTACATGACATTAGAGAGAACTTCCTTATGTTTAATAATAATATATTAGACATTTTCACTTAAAATGTTTCGACGAAGTCATGTCTTCCCTCGAGCAGATAGCTTTTGTGCATTTTTTATAATCAAAGTGTGCAGTTTAAATACTTGTACATATGCTATAGTAACAATGTTTATACATTGTTTATAAGTCAAGTATGTTTGTATTTCGCTAAAATATGACTCATTTTATAACTTGTTACATTTCACAGAAATACACTAGTTTGCAAAACTTAAGCAACTACATTTTTCAACATATAACCATGAAATTGCTGAAAAGGGCATTTTGCGATCAGTACAATGAAAAGCAAACTCGGTAGAAAGGTAATGCATACGCAAATATCAGTGCTATGACTTCAGAAGGTACGTCAGAGTCAGCACGTGCATTGCAAGGCAACTTGAAAAGAAGAAAGGTTAGGTTAGGTTAGGTTATTTAATTACGGCAAAGCCTCGAGGGCTATCTGCCTAAGGGGAGGGATGCCTTCGTGGAGGACGTTCTAAGGGAAACTGGCTCGTATACACGTTACACATGGGGAAAACCACGAAAACACCCATGCAGCCAGCCCGTTCGCAGGATTCGAATCTCGGACCGAACTACCAGTGTTCAGCGACTTTACCGCTCGGCCGCTGGTGGGCCGAAAAGAAGAAAGGAAGGCATTATTTTGCAAGTTAAA